CAAGTGGGCGGTTTTCAAAATCCAGGGGTTTGTCTGCAAGCGTTTCCTTCCTTCCTTCCCCTCCCCCTCCCCCCTCTTTTACTCGCTCCATTTTTCGCACTGTAATTCTTTGCTCCCGAACCTCACAGAAACGCTTGCTATGCAGGCTATAAGCCCCTCTGTAAATATAAGTTGTACATCAACCTTGTTCCCAGGGTCTCTAATCTTACTACCCCTTGGAGCGAGCAAGGAGAGACCCTGCTTGGGTCTGGTCACGTGTCTCCCAGAATCTGGGAGATGACAATTAAATTATTGAAGGGATTAGCGGCTTAGTAGGAATTTTGTCTATACTTAGCCTACGGGAGTGCGGTATGTGTTGTCACCAAAGTAAACTGAGAACGATATGATGTTCTGCGGTAATGTCAATCCAGCGGTAATATTCTGCAAACCCCAAGGAAAACTTATCCATCATCTGATAGCGGAAATTCAAGGTTGTATGGTTCAGTGAAGGACGTTACATATTGTAAAAATCTCCTCAAGAATGTAAATGGAGAATTGCACACCGTGGCCGAGGCTGTGTATGGAAGATCTTTCACTTATCTTTACCTCAGAATGAAGTGTAGGTCTTGTGAACAGCAATTAAATAATTTTAGAGAATTCAGGACCTTTTAATTGATCACTGAAAGCCAAAGTTACTTTGAAAGGAGCGAAGGGGTGAAAAGATTTATTGAAGTTTCACCGCGCCGTCAGTGCCCCGAACATTGCAGAACGTGAAGGATAATACAACAAACTCGTCGCGGTATGCATTTTGCCGTCGTTGCCGATGAACTGGGTTTATCTTCGACCAAAAGGAGGCTAGAAAAAGAAAAATATAATTTTTATTGTGTAGTTAATAAATAAGTGTGTGTGACTCCAACGGTTCTTGACAATTGTGCACATTCTCATTTAGTTTTCGATCTCTCGACCTTTCTTTGCTTCACATGTGTTTTTGAGGGGGACTTTTTATGTTGTGTTATTAGAGTAAGTAAGTAAGTAAGTAAGTAACTTTATTTAATGAGGGTAAAAACACTTTAAGTAGAGCGGAGTCGTTTGATTGTGTTACAGCATATTTTTAGAGGTCGTAGGTCCACATGGTTTCCGCTGTTAACTGCATGTTGCTTCTCAGAGTTTAACACCTCTGTAATTTGCCATGCCATGCTTATACTTTGGTTAGGTTCGTTTCTGTTGCAAGTTATGTAAGTATTGGCTCTCCACGGACAAAGATTAAAATATTCCGTGAACATATTCCTTACTTGCATTCTATATTGTGACGCAGCAGGTGACGCCGGGCCCGGCTATTTGATTAGAACTGTTTTCAAGCACAGTGCGTTGCACGAATATCATATTTATCTTCGTCCAGCTTGTCTCCAGACAGTGCTGTAGCTTTACTTTGAGAAAGCTATACGTTTTCCAAGAGACATTCTTATGTTTTTTTGCATCAATTTGATCGAGTGCATTCAAAGAAGAAACAACAATTACTATGGGAAGAAATTGCGCTGCTCGACGTCCCCAGTTGAAATATGACTGACTTTCCATAAATCCAGTGGGTAAGACAGCAACACTGAAAATCACAACCACTAAATTGCCTCGAGACAGACTTGCTCAACCTTTAGGTAAACGTTGGAATAGATATTATTCAAAATTTCAGCCTGAAAGCTAAGTATTGATAAACGCCATGGGTAATGGCAGTCGCAGCGCGATAAATTCGACAAAGCTCAACGTGACAAATTGCTGATTACAGAGGACCCCTTCCTGATGTTCTCAATTGTCAAGGTGGCACATGACGAGACCCAACCAGGGTCTCTCCTCGCTCGCTCCAGGGGGCGGTAAGATGAGAGACCCTCGGAACGAGGTTGGTTGTACATCTAAGCCCAAGAAAAACCCCTTACAAATTTAGTACTTGGGTGGGTGAGCAAATCAAAATACCCCAGTGATGTAAAAAAATGATTTCTTTTTTACTTCTTTTGCATCCCTTTTTAAGGCCATATCAGTGACTGCAGAACTTCCCAGCCCTGTGTAATGCCTTTTCTTCTTTTAATCAACTATTTGTTCACATCATGTTGCCATGTCCATAATTATTTTATATTTACAGTACTGTATTTATAGTGAAATGCCGCTCTCAAATTCTCGTAATTTTCCCTTTCCGTTTCCTATCCAACATTTTTTATAAGGTATTAATCATTCAAAATTTATGCAGCTCATCAATTTTGTGATTTTCAATATCCTTTTTGTTGGCAGTCAAGTACAGTTAAATCTTTGTCAAACAGACACTTTTGAGAAATGTGCTATTGTTATTAGCTTCTATACAATAGAGACGTTCCTGCAAAGTCTTCTCAATGTAGATTATTTCTGCAGTGAGATATTGAGTACAGTGAAACCTGTATTAAGTAGACACCCTTGGGACACTGACTAGTGTCCGCTTAATACAGGGTGTCCACTCTAAGAAGGTCCTAATATATTGTGCAATAAAAGTTAATTATTAACCCTTTTGTAACACAGTATGACACAGTGTAAGATCAAAGACTGCTCATAGCACAATGTCCAGTCAGTCAATGCATCAATCTGGAATAATCGACTTAGCTTTAAAATGATATCCTTAAACAATGTTAAAGGAGTCTGAGCTGAGCTTTTAGAAGTAAAAAGTCTGGGAAGTGTCTGCTAATTTCAGGTTGTGTACAACAAAATGGCTTAATATTGATGTCCATGTCTGCTTAACAGAGATGTCCATTGAATGCAGGTTTATTTTACAGTAAATGTGGGAAGAAAATTTTGGAACTCGAGCTGGTGTCCACTTAATATGGGGTCCGCTTAAAACAGGTTTCACTGTACTTGCATCAGAAATGCAAAGAACGAATCAGGAGCATTGCGAACAAAAATTGAAACTAATCAGTCAGGGAGGAAATTGTTTCATATATATGTATACATCAAATTAACTTGAACTTAAATATGACTGCAAAAGCCTTATACACTGGTCAGTAGATTCACAAAAAGTTGAACAGGAAGGGAAGGAAGGAGTAAAGGAGTAAATTTCCCATCCATACCTACAACTTGGAAGAAAGTATTATGTCCAAGTTAAAAATAGTGAAATTCCCAGACCTGTTACATGTAAACTAAAAGGGACTCAATAACATATAGTTTCACTTTTTGGTTAGTCAGAGCATTCCTGACTTACCTGACTTTCCGTGACCCAATGGTTAGTGTGTTGGGCTCTGGATCATGTGTCAACTATTTAAATTTGTTATTACAATGTAGTATTTGATTGGAATATATTGATGGTAATATTCAAAGGATCTGTTGGCACAGAAGTGAACTTCAAGCTAATTTTTTCCCTTTTTTCTACAGTGCAATGCATCAGCCAGTCAAGGAACAGAGTCGGTTTTACCACATCAGAAGTTCACCAGCAACTCAACAGTTTTTACCCTCACTCTTGATGGCTTAAAAAACCTTGGAAAGCATACTCGATTTATATTTGAATTAGTTTCATTTTCTATTGATAAAGTTTCCACTTGTATCACAGCTGAACGGTCTCTTGATGATGAACACACACCAGCTGTTTTCAAAACAATTGTTGTCAACAGCACTGGTTTCACTGGCACATCGTATAGTGCGTGGAAACCTGTTGCTTATATCAAAAAGACAAGGAGTCTGGATAATCAAGTTCCTTCTTGGGCATACTATGAGAATGAACACAAGTATGTAAAAACACAAAGTTGTTCATCACTTCCTTCATCTTCCTCCAAACAATTTCACAGCATAGTGCACCATTTGAAAGGGATTACCTTTACATCTCATGGAATGAATATTTCTTTTGGACAAAAAAAGGATGGTTGGTATGAAGTCTCACACTACCTCTCTTGGTAAGTACCAGATCGTTTTACTTTATTTTATTAGCTAGCTTACTGAGCTTTTTGCCACTGGTGATAGTGCTGGTGATTATGAGGAACAGATCTCCTCCACTGGCTTGTGTGTCACCTGTCAGCCAACTGCTAACAAGCAGATTACAGACAAACTACCTCCAAAGTACAACAGGTTACCAAACCTCACCCAACACAAACATGTGACTGTATTATATACCAATATACCTGGCTCTAAGTAACAATGCATTCTTAAAACCACAAAACTGACAAACCATGTTCAAAGTTTGGAATGTACAGATCTGGGATTCACACCATTACTCTTCATAGTGAAGCTGACCTTTTAGCTTACAAACAGCACCTTTAGAACCCACCAAGTTAAAAGAAAGTGATCTCCACACTACATATAGACATCTACTATTTCCTTCATGGCAGAAATAGTGATGAACTTGCTAAGATACTAATTGTGTTCCAGTATCCCACTATTCACGCTTTAAATTTTGGTGAAATTATGGTGACAGGCATTCTTTGTGACCAACCCGGCTCATGAAATTTGTTGTTCTCTTTCAATGTCTACTGTGCGAACCATTTAGCTTCATTGGCACTGTATGTTGTGTTACTAGGACGAGTTTGAATGAAGTACATGTCATAGGTCTGTGTGGTTTTACCTTGAGCAACTTGACAACTCTGTAATTTGCCATATGTTTCGTTAGCAAGGTGTGTCCGTTCAGCAGTATTTCTGTTCTGCTTCCAAATTGGGCATAAAACTCGTCACACAATCAAGCATGATAAGTCAGTGGAAAACTGGCATGCTGAATAAATCCCTCATAATCCAGTGTAAATTATGTCAAACATCTTGTGTTGATAGCTGGGAAGAGTTGACTTTTAAGGGGGGTCCTTCTTAACCCTTTGACTCCCAAGCGCCCATATATGCACAATGAGTGGTCATGCTCTTTGTACCACTTGTGACATCATCAATTGAAATGTCACCAGATATTCTTGATAAGCAGATAGTAGAGCTGGGATATATCTATCCGCACAACCATCGATTTTGGATATCGACGACATTCTGACTTAGCAAACTGAAAACCAACATTATCAGTTTTGGTGCAAAAATGGTGGTAAACTGGCCCATTATACTTATAATTGATCGAGGTCCCATTTCCAGGCTTTGTGCATAATTAACACCCAACTTTTTATGGCAGCCAGAACGAATATGAAAGGCAAAAGGCAGCAAGAGTAAAAGGGCTGAGAAAAAAGGAAAGGAAAGGGGCAAGAAAAAATTTCGTAATGGGAAAAAAAAAAAAAAAAAAAAAAGTCCAAAGTTTGGCTTACACGCACGCTCCAAATTAAAATTTTGTACATTTTTGTACCTAATCTTCAGGAAATTTATCTTTTTGATAACAAAAAAAAAACCTTTTTTTAGCAAAACTAAGGCCCATTTAGCGTCATAGCAACCAAAAAACTGATTTAACAGTTAAAAATGGCATTTTTTGGTGAAAATTTAGGATGAAAGGGTTAACTACAGATTGTTGAGGAATTGCTGAAGGCCATATTTATAGAAAAGCTATTTTAGAGTGTTTTGTAATGCTAAATGGTGAATTTTAATGGAAAAAAAAAAAAAAGATTTCACCTTCATAACTAGTGCTAGTCCCAAACCATACGTTAGAATTTTAAATCCCTAATCAGAAATAACTCAGACTTGTTTATAATCGTATGTATGGAATTACTGTTTACACATATAAGAGGAAAGCTACTGTAGAAAGTCTGTTAATACGGGTGTTTATTACCTCATAATTTTTATGATAACACGAGTTTCATAAAACCCATACGTAGCATTAAGCATGTGAGTGCTCTTAATCTGTTGACACTGATTGAAATTTTTGGATTTAGATGCCTTGTAAGTTTTAGGTTTTTTCGTCTATTCTGGTCACAAGACTGGTCAAATATGGCCGTGATTGGAAACTTTGGTAGGACTCTTCAATGGAACAAACTTGTGTAAAAAGCCTATCCTTAGGAGGTCTGGTTTTCAGAATGTGACAGTTAGAAACCTTTCTTAGCAACAAACTCATGATCAATTGGTAGTTAAGGAGGACCCCCTTAATAATGCTTATTGCCAAGCAACCAATTTGAGTGTGGTCCCTGAACTCTGGAGAAACAACAGGATACTGGAGCACGATAAGTAACGGAGCTTTGCAGACATCACACTATCTATGTTACTGCTAATCGGTTTAATAACTATTTTTCAGCACTGAAGAGAGTATATTTTTGTCTAAATTGTTTAGATTCTTTGGATAAACAGATTGTTTATGTTATGTTTTTAGGTCTGCTATGGTAGGTTATGGAAGACCAGAATATGATTCGTTCTCCACGGTGGTGTGGATAATCATATTTGTTGGATTTGGTGCTCCAATGCTTCTTATTGTTATAAGTATTGTTTACATCATTGCAAAGAAGATCAAAGCCAAAAAGACAACAACGTCATATGGTATGATAAACTGACAATTTATTTGTAGATGGTACCATTGACTTCAGCTTTGAAAGAATTTCACAGGGATTGTATTGTTCTCAGGATCAAGTGATATTAGTCTTTGTTTAGCTTATACAACGTGCTGGCTGCCGAGATCTTGTAGCTGAAAAATAACTTCCTCTTTGAGCCTCATAATGGCTGGCCAGTCAGCATCAGAGGTCTTTTTCATAGTTATCATTTGTACAAAATCAGATTACTTTCCTAAGAGATATGTGCAGAGTGAAGAAGTCACTGTGCAAAACGTCGGTTTGCTCAATCTTTTCTAGTCTTCTAGTCATCCTCAAGTAGAGTTTGTTTATTTAAAGAAGAGTTGTCCTTGGTTAATGGTTTAACTTCTCAACCAAGCCTTCTTTAAACTAGTGTTTGAATGAGCATCTACAATTGAATTGAATTAAATGGAAAAAGTAATAACACATTCTTCCTTGTTACCAAGCCAAACATTGGCTCTCCTGGGGCCCGTTTCTCGAAAGCCCCGGAAACTTTTCGGGCCCTTAAAGCCATTTTTAATTCATCTGTATCTAAAAACGGATAATTGTATACGCCTGAAACTTCTTGTATGAAGGGAACCTATGTTCATATTAAGAAAATGTGAATAAAACAGCTCTATAATCGTAAGGTTCGAGAGTTTGCTATGGCTTTCCGGGCCCGAAAAGTTTCCGGGGCTTTCGAGAAACGGGCCCCTGGCCCAGCACATGCTCAACATATTTCCCCTCATCCCCGGTAAGCAAGTTAAACACGTCAAAAATGTTTACATGTCACAGGGTGAACTTGAAGTTTCTAGTTGTGAAGAAGTGTATGAAAGTTCTCTAGCTAGTGGGATGGGGAAGGGGGTAGTAGTGAGGGGGGGGGGGGCTTGGTTTGGAGGGTACACCCCCTACCAGAGAGTCCAGAAACAACTTTAACCATGCAAACAGGCCCTTAGTCTCATTGCTGTCTAGTTCATTTGTTAAGCTCAGCTGTCCAGCACAAATTTTTGCGAATGTTTTTTGCACACATCTTTTGGATGTGTTTGTGACATTGAATTACTCATGTGTTATGTTGGTCTGGTGTGTGTTTTTAGAGGGAAACTAAGAAATGCTGTAGGGTCTATGATATCCTTGAAATTCAGTTGTAATAAATTCACAGATTGATATAAGCAGATAACATTATTCTACTAGTAATAATAAAAAACATTTTGGCTATTGTAAAGACTGATAGAGGGATTAGAACTATTAGTCTGATCAAGTTTGTTCTCTTTGTACTATAGTATTTCATTGAATCAGGAATAAGCTTAAAGCCCTATCTTTTTTTGCAAACCAGTGAGGCATTAAAACACTCTGGTGAACAATCTAGAAACGTGCACAGAACCCAGTGTCTGTGTTGAAAGTTTAAATTTGATATAGAAAATGTCCAGATATTTATTATAATTTTTTTATGTCCTAGCAACCACTCGTTATGCCTTTTCTATATGAATAAAGGTTTTCATTTATAACAAAATCGCCGTCCGCCTTGTGTTTGTCTTCTTTCTGTTATAATTTTAAGGTCCCTTCCACTTCATGGGAACTTGCACAGTAATCTTATGACTGTTATTCTAGATCATTGTTTGAAAACTCGAGGTCTAATACTTTGCGTCTGCTCCGGGGGTAGGGGCCGGTTTTGTTTTGCTTGCCCTGCAGCTTTTCTTCCTTCTGTGATTTCTTCTTTTTTTTTTACCCAAAATAAGGGGGGCCGGGCCCGGGCCCCTCCCCTAGATCTGCCACTGCATAACATGTCGTTATGTGGCTAGTGTGAACCTAACCTGAGATCAGGCGTTTTTTTTTTTTTTTTTTTTTTTTTT